TTTTTTTTATTAATTCGTGGCCACGAAATAAAATTCGTGGGAACGAAATAAAATTTCGTGGCCACGAAATAAAATTCGTGGGAACGAAATAAAATTTCGTGGCCACGAAATAAAATTCGTGGGAACGAAATAAAATTCGTGGCCACGAAATAAAAATTCGTGGCCACGAAATAAAAATTCGTGGGAACGAAATAAATTTCGTGGCCACGAAATAAAAATTCGTGGCCACGAAATAAAATTCGTGGCCATGAAATAAATTTGTGCTACATAATGCCATTTTTAGCTTCTTCTGTTTTATGTCATTCAAGATGAACGAACTTATATATAATTATCATTTAATTGGAATGAGCCAACGGGATATATGTGTAATGAGCAATGAGATTCGATGCTGTTACGTAGAACATGTTTTACATGAGAAGTTATACTCCTAACATGCTAAGATTTTGTGTCTTTATTTCATTACAACTATGTGACAGGATTCAATAGAAAATGTGAGAAAACAGCAAATAAGCCCTTAAAGTCATTAATGTTCGGGTTGCCTTGACTAATATCAGGAACAAAACTTGCCAGAGTTGTTATAGTTAAGAAAAATACATAAATTGGCTAATATAAAATTGTCCCTGCGTATCATATCATCTAAAAAATCGTGACTTCTTGCTGTGTCATGTAGCATGATGACAAGCTGAAGAGAACACTTTCATTTTGTTTTATCATTTGGTTAGGATGTCATTTTGGATGCAGTATCATTGAACTGCCTTAAACTCCAGAACAGTCAATTGAATTGGCTTGAATGTCGTTTTAATTTTGGGCACAGAGCAAAAGAGAGAGTTTATTATTATTATTATTTTTTACATCTAGACTATGTTCATAATGCATGTACCAATTCTCAGCTGCTTCTAATATATATGCAAATTAAATATATGGGTATTTATAATGACGTTTATCAGTGCGGGCCAGTTACAATAATCTAACTGTGTTTGTGTGTCATGGGACAGACTCTCACTAGGTCCATAGCAAATTATCATTTTAACACTATATGTACATATAATTGTGAAATAAAAATTCGTGGCCACGAAATAAAAATTCGTTCCCACGAATTTTATTTCGTGGCCACGAATTTTATTTCGTTCCCACGAATTTTATTTCGTGGCCACGGATTTTTATTTCGTGGCCACGAATTTTATTTCGTGGCCACGAATTTTTATTTCGTGGCCACGAATTTTATTTCGTGGCCACGAATTAATAAAAAAAATTCTCATATCATGTCCTATAGCAGCCACCGTAGGTTCTGGAGTTAAGGTGGAGCTCTTTTTTGATCATATATTGAAATTTTTACTTTGTATTCCCCTTTGCTATTTATCTTTATATAAATAATCACTGTAAATAGTACCAAGTACATGTAATATACAATTATGGACTCTTGCGGTGGTGAATATGGTTTGTTATTCACCAGAAAAATATCAATATTGACCGAGGCGATGCCGAGGTCAATATTGATATTTTTCTGGTGAATAACAAACCATATTCACCACCGCAAGAGTCCATAATTGTTTTATTAGTCAGGATTTGAATGAATAAGACATTGAAGGCTGCATGACAACTCCATTTTCATTAACAAACTTCTATCGTATAGAAAAATTAAAAAAAATTGTCCAGATTACAACTTATAACTTCCGTGTTTTCCTGTCGTTGTGTGTAATACATCGCAATGTTTGGAAAATATATAGTCCTACGGTAAATTTGCCTAACAATTTTCCTTCTCAGATATACAGCTGGGGCCCGTTTTACAAAAGAACTTACGACTAAGAGCAAAATTTAATTCTGCTTATAACTTTCTAAATTACATTAGATAGAAAATGGTTTTATTATCTTTAAAAAGAATGTAGAAAGATACTTTTACGATAGCAATTTTGAACACAATTATCAATTTTGCCAAATTTTTCAATCAACTGGAGTTTTTGGTCTTAGTCGTAAGTTCTTTTGTAAAACAGACCCCTGGCTCCGGCCTTTGCACAGCCATTGTTTTCAACGTTGCTTGAGGTATTGATTGTGACGTCACAATGCCGCTGCACGCGCACTGACCCTCCGGTGAATACGGCTTCAAATCCAGTGAATATGTAGTATTATGAACTGTTTGCGTTTGTATAGATTATATAGGGACTATTCATAAACTATATAATAATGTAATTTATAGATAAATTGTGTAGAGAATTGTACAAGAATTTTTAACTTATAACACAAAAAGGACTTTTAAATATAACAGATGAATAAAAATGAGACAATAATACCTTATATTTGTTCATTAAATGTTATTCAAAGACCAAGCGTGACCAAAGCTGGGTTTACTATACATGTATACAGTGTTTTTATAAGTTTAATATTAGAGTGGAGTTAGCAATGGCAAATAAAGGCAGGTAAAGAGATCTATTTTCCAGTTTTTGCTGATTACCAGATTAACAATTTTGTTGATCTCTGTTCATCCTCGTTTTCTTTTCCTCTCTTTTTTTAACAACATGTCTTCATTTACATTCATCTACATCTACCTTCGTCTTCATCTAGCTTTATTTATTCTTATATAACTGTTTACCATTCTATGGATCCTTTACAGGGATGTATTATACTCAGGCGACCATCAAGGCCCTTGGGCCTCTTGTTAAGTCTCAATAATATTTTCAAAGTACTCTCGAATTAATTGTTGAACAAATTAACTTAAATAAAAAATATAATGAATATGCTTTTAAAAATATATGTTGTATAAATTAAGGTTTAAAGCGGCGACGAACTGTATGCACCAAAATGAGGATCGTATAATTATTTTGATGGCAAAATTTGGTCTAAATATATAGTAATTAGGTTTTTGATTTGTCATGAAAATATATTTGATTTCTGAGTGACTTTGAAATTAACAAAATGAACTTTACAAGGTTGTTACTTTGCCAATACAAGTCATTAACAAAAATATTATCATGCATGAATGTTTTTCAGCCCCCCCCCCCCTTCCCTTTTCCGAGAATTATGATGTTTTACTTTTCAATAAATTTTTATATGGGAATCTTAAGTGCTTTCCCTCCGACTTTTTAGCTCTACTAGTCAGAGACCAGAAGAGCTTATGCGATAGTAAGGTGTCCGTCGTCCGTCCGTTTGTCTGTCTGTCTGTCTGTCTGTAAACAATTTTTCAAAATGCTACTCCTCCTACAGTTTTGGTCTGATTTCAATATAACTTGGCACACAAGTAGACTACACTAAGGTACATAATTCTTTGTATCTGTATCTGATTTCCATGAAAGGTGTTGCCATGGTTACTAAAAATAGAAATTTCTGTGAAATATTTTCAAAACGCTACATGTACTTCTCCTACAGTTTTGGTCTGATTTCAATATAACTTGGCACACAAGTAGATTACACTAAAGTACATAATTCTTTGTATCGGTTTCTGATTTCGATGAACGGTGTTGCCATGGTTACTAAAAATACAAATGTAGTTAAAAATACGAGGAGAAAAACCAGGACAATTTTTTATTCAAGAGAGCAGCTAAAAATGTATAGCTTTGAATGCCAGGCGTCTTTTTTAATATCCATGCGAGAGTTTGTATGTAGTACGTATCCAAGTGTTAATGTGCAGATTTCTTTGTGAGGTCCACAATAAATTAATTTGCTGGTACTCTATGCCGTTGTTCAAGGTACTGTTTGCTGCGAGGGAATATTTTCATGACATCACAAATTGGGTCACATACTTTGTATTTTTTTTTTTTGGTTGACATTTCAGAATCGATGAAGTTTCTGAATCAAAAGCAAATTTCTTAAAGGCTTGAACAGTTGGTATACTCGTATTCTACTGATCAAGACACAATGAACAGAAAAACTAAAGTAGCAGTCTCATTTAAGGAAAAACAATGTTCTCGTCAAATATTCAATAATATGTAGACAGATTACAGGTAATATTTCTAACAAACAAAATAAGTTTAAAATTACTGAATGTGATATAATTTATAGGAGTCAACTGAAATAATGAAAAAGAGCAGCATAATGACCAATTTTACATATCAAAACTTGGTATAGATTTGAAAATTTGTCCACAGAATTTCCTTTACTTAAAGATGCATATGAATGTAGTAAAAACTCTTTGTAGATGGCAAGAACTCATGGTTCGCATTTGTACAGAAATTAAGAAATATACTGAATATCTAAAATGAAGTAATTTTTTACGGGAAGCATAAATTTAAGTCACTCTGTCATAAAACCTTATTATATTATTATGTAAAAAATTGGTATACAAGTCAATAAAGTTATACCGATGGTAAATTAAGCACATATGTAAAACTCAAACAAAATTGGGGTTATGAGAATTATCTATCAGTAGTTAAAAAAATTTCATCACCGAAAATCTCTATGTAAATTAAGAATTTCTTGTCACAGATTGCAAATTGAAGTGGGAAGATTTACCAACAACTCTCAAGAAGATCGATTAAGTAATAGATGTAATTCTAACAGTGTAGATGAGGAAACTCATTTTTTGATAACATGTAAAAAATATGGTCATCAAAGAAAAGAAATTTTTCAGTCAATTAAAAGTAAATTTCCAAATTTCTTGGCGTTAGATGATGAACAAAAACTTTTTTGGTTACTCAATACTGAAGACAAAGAAACTCTTAATTTTGTGAGCAAATTCATAAATGATAACATGTTGTAGTAGCCATACATTTTTATATATAGTATTCCCTTTAACTGAAATAGTACAATATTATTGTTGAAATGAGCAATGTCATTTACAAATTGTTATACTATCCATTGGCATATCTTTTCCTTATTATTGTAATAATTTCATACTTGTCTGTTATGGGCTCTAAATTAGAAAATAAATGTTCTGTTCTGTTCTTATAACAAAAATGTCATCGAGTTCATTTAAGGTTTTTATTTTTCAATAACTTTTACAACAATTTACTTAATATGGATTTTAAACCCATATATAGCAACAAAACTTAAGTTTTGTACTATTTTAATCATCCAACTATTATTAAAATCCCAGCTGGTATTGCTAGAATCATGGCTATAACGCAGAAAGCAAAGGCAAAGTGAAAGTGACCAGTTGCTCCGGACTCTTTTTCCTTAGCGGCAAAAACAGCGATGGATATCAAAATGCAAATCGCTGAAAGAAAGACATGTACTTGAATTAAAGGAGTACAAAGTAGGTTTCCTTGCTGAGTTTAAATTTCAAATTTTCATTGTCCACATTTAATCGACCGAGATGCTTATGGAATTTTTTAAAAAAAATATATGACATGTACCTCCTGCAAATGTTAACCCAGCAGACAAATGGAGAAGTGAGGCTTTATCCAGACGAAGTTTGATTGGTAGTGCGACAACAGCAATCAGCAGACAAATAAGCCCAAGGCATGCAAAAGCTTGTACTGCCTTGAACCAACCTTTCAAAGATAAAGAAATAGGTAAGTAAGTGTCATTATATGAGGAACTCTGTACTGTTAATTAAGCATCTCTATAAAACAACAACTTATCGGTTATTTTTTACCTGCATTAGTCACGACTTGATTGCAATTGGAGACATCTTGACCAGAAAAGTCTGAGGAAATGCAATATTTCCACAATCCTCCATGCGCTTCTACCTTAATCCCATCAATGCTCGATTCCCCTTTAATCCAGTAGGGTGAAGCAAACCCGACGATGTCAATAACCAACGCAATAATTTGTAGAACGAATCCGATGACGAAGAATTTAGAAACTTCTCCAAACAATGCCATCTTAGATTACGATTGCGGATATCAGAGGCTGAAAGAAAGAATAGCATAGTTTTATGTGGATGTTCTGATTACAATGAAAGCTCCTAGAATTACACAACTAATTATATTTTATTTAGGCATTCTATTTAATAACATTTATATATAGGGGAGGGGATTCATTAAATAAAGCAAAATGTCACCAAAGAAAAACATGGAAAGCATTAATCTTTTAACACTACAATCTATTCTCTGTCAACATTTACAGATGTGTGAAGTCTCTTTACCCACGACTGAAACACCTAAGCTTACTCTTCCTTATGCTTCAAAAAGATACAAATAGATGACACTCTATTGGACAGTTCCAAAATTGTAGTGTTTTCCTTTATTTTGAGTTTTGGGAATAAGAGGAAGTCGACTGTACCTGGTGAATATGGGGAGGGGGGGGGTATGGCTTAGTTCTTCAGTTTCTTTTTTCAAAATGTTCTTTACATATCTTTGCTTGTTTGCAGCATTTGGAGCTCTGGTAATGCTCTAAGCTTTCTTTCTGATGTCACATTTTATAATCGATCTTTCTTTTGGGCTCAAAATATTACAATCCTGTTTTGTCACAGATTAAACGTTTATTATACTTTTTGTTGCAATGTGTAAACATGTATTTTTAAAAAAGGTAATTTGACATTTTTAACGCGTGTTTTCTTTTAGGAATCTATAAGCAGAAGAGGTACCTATATCTGGAAGGAATTTATTATTATTAGAGTTAATTACTCAGTCGGTAGAGCGCTCGCTGCGTGGTTGTTTGTTCGAATCACAGCCGCGACTGACCTAAGTCGATACAAATAGGTTTCTTTTAGCATCACGTTGCCATCCGACAACAAATTCACAACAAGCGAGTTTATTGGTCTGTAGAGACGACTATAAAGGGTTAGGAGGTAGATAAAATATACAGGTTGGTTATAGAATATGTCTAGAATTAGGGAATTTTAATGAAAGGTCGTTGATTGACCAATGCTGGAAAGTGGCGAAATACATCCCCAAAGTGCGCAGAAAATCTTGCGCCGTAGATTGCTTAATATTTGCATTACGGGATCTGTAGCGTTATGGTCAAAGACCAAAATATAAAACCATAATGCTTCAGTCAAACCAAAATATAAAACCATAATGCTACAGTTTTGCAGCTATCTTTTGGCATGAATTTCGTGTTGTTGAGCAGGGAGTACAAAGGCTTTGCTGATACTTTAGTTAAAGTCCAATTTCTTGCTTTATCAAGTACATGTGTTTATTGATTCATCTTCTTCCATAAAAATTATACTTCTTTTTAAATGAAAAAATATTATATATTATACATTAAAATGAAAATGTAAATGCACATGCAATGTTATCTTTTTTAAAATCATCATTATATCAGTATTATTTAGTAGCAAAGGATGCAAAAAGTGTTCAATTAAATTACCATCTTATAAAAAATTTAGCTGACCAAATATGATTTTCTTTGTGTATGTAGTTTGAGAAGTATATAAATTAAGATATTTCATCTATGATACTTATTTTATTTATAAAAAAAATATTATACAATGATATATAAGCATATGTATAGAAATGAAATGTCAGCAATGATATGTATACGTACATGTAATTTTTTTTTCTCATTTAATGTATATTATTTTGTAAATTAAATATTATAATAAAAATACCGATCCAGGGAGCTCCTGGCACCCCAGATGAGGTATATACAGAGGGCTTCTGCGGAAGTTTTGCCTCAATATTTTGTTGTATGTTATTGAAAATAAATATATCATTTATAAAAAAAAAAAAAAAAAAAAAAAAAAAAAAAAATATTATGTAAATAGTGTAAATTATTGTAACTGAATTATCATCAATAATTAAACACACACGGAAACATACAGAAGCTTTTTTTCCCCATTGAAAATGCTTTACTACAGACAGAATTAAACATACTCGTATAAATGTACATTGTACAATGGATATCGAAGTCGGAAATATCAGTTTCACGCGTTTTTTTTTCCGGACAGTATTAATTACAAAAGTTTGGTTTCATTGTCATTGGTGAAAAGGTTTTCTGAATCACATGCATATCATTTTTAAACAAACGTAAAGCATTTATAATTATCAAATGAAGAAATAAGAAAGCATTTTACATATTTATTGTATTATGCCTAGAGATATCAAGAGATGGGGGGAAAAGTCAGCAATGAGCACGGACCATAAACAGGTTTAATAAATGTTAAGCTTTACCCTGCCATACGATTAAATCATAGAATTTAATGATTTACAAGTAACTTTTATACAGAGTTTGCTTGAAATGGAAACTTTTTACGCTGAACTCTGCCTAAAATTCTTACATGATATAAGTATTTCTTTTGGGGGGGTGGGGGGGTGGGGGTGTACAAATATCAATGTTTTGTTGAAGAAAAAAATCTACAAATTTTTAATCAGAACAGTGAAATTTACATATAATTATTTATCAGATTTAAAAATGACAGATTTGTACATATCCTTCGTTTTAAAAATCAGAAATGGGATTAGTATCCTTATTTCAAAAATATTTTTGATAAATATTAACTTAAAATTAATGTTTCGAACTAAATTTTGAACAAACATTTGCACCTTATTTATAAAGTTGACTTTGTTAATGCAAATAAGTAGGAAAAAATTTAAATAATTTGTATATAAATATTTTAAAGTCTCAATCCTATTACATTATTTTTTTTAAAGACAATCGATCTGTTAGTTTTTCTTCAGTGCGCTCATGATAATCTGAAAGAGTAATTCCAATGCGACTTGTGAAACGTATTTTTTTTAGTTCTTTAACTTAATGAATACAAATTAATATATGGCGGTTTGAAATTAAAAACATTTATTTTTACACATCTATGCTTTTTTTTCAGATAAAATTTATAATAACCCGTTTATACATGTATTTACAACTGTGTTTCACAAAGTAAATATTTCAATAGTTAATTCATACCTGCTTGTGAAGGTTCTTTTCGATGTTTTGATGTAAAAGTACCGTTATACGGTGCTTGAATGAGAAAAAAGACTTGATCCTATTAGAAATACCGACTACTTATTCAAGAAAATGTAAAATTTGTCCAGGGATGGGTTTTTCCTCCTTTATCTTCAATAAGAGGGGGTAAAGGTAAAAAAGTATTTCTTCATAATCTTTAGATTAAAAAAAAAATAAACACTTAAAGACATAGATTTTAAGCAACTCCTTCAAATATACCTGGTCTATGTATACCCCTGTCAATCAAGTGCATTAAGGTACATCATTGGGTGCTAGAACTTGATAGACATTTACTTACTAGTCCCTGTGTATACAATGTACACCTTCTTTGGCACTCGTGGTGACCTTCAAATTAACTTTTGATCCTTTGATATTTACCACACATGGTATAAACAATAGAGAAGCTGTATTACTATGGAATTTTTAGCTTGATAATATACACACACCTTCAGTATTTGAAATAATTATGATATCCTTTATGGCAATATATATATCAGGCTTGGGGTGAAATTACATTGGAAAGTAATGCATTACATTATACCATTACGTCAAAAATTTGGGCATTAAATTACCATTACCATTACTCTAAATCTTAAAGTAATGCTTTACATTACCATTACTTCTGGGGTTTTATATAAATACAAAACTTTGCAACTATTTTCATAAGCATGCATCAAACCCCTTCAAAACTAAACATGACGAATGATAATTCAAATTTGATTTCAAGTACTTGTATTTATTACACTGTAAATAACTTAATATCTTTTTTTTATTCATAGACAGCGAGTGATAGGAAGTTCAAACTTTTCAATTGTCAGTAAGGTAAAAACAATTGTACAATATGCATTTTTTTGTAACTACATGTATTGATGTCATAAAGAATTTAACTTTTGAGGCACTTTAACCCCTGCCCAAAACTATCTAATAATAAATAAGCATAGATTATTTGGATCTAGTGCCTTCTGAAAAAAAATATAAATGCATTAACAAACTTGTAAGAAAGGGTTGGACAGTATGCACATTTTGCTCTGATAAACATTAATGCCTGCATGTCTTCTGTTCCTTTTGGTACAATGTATTTTTCATAGTCAACTCAAGCTAGACCAGCTCAATTAATGTTTTATAAACACAGTCAGGAGAAAGGGACTGGTAATTTGGAGCACTTCTCAAAACAATGCATTGTTTTAATTGTTACCGAATATAACCCCAGAGGTTTAGTTTGTTTCGATGACACTCTAAGTATTCAAAAGAGGGTAATTATCAGTTTACAGTGTACATTAATTAGTGTACGTACCTCATATCGGATTTATTTTTTAAAAAGATTTTATAAAAACTATTTTAAATAATTCTTTGAAGTCAAATCTTATCTAAAAAAGTGTGATAATTTAAATGTAAAGTACCTAATCATGGTAATTGTAATTTCAGTGGAATAAAAAGTGTATTTAAATATAGATACAGAGGGTTTATTTAATAAGGTTAACTTTTTCCATTCATCTCTATCATTTATAAAATAGAAATTCCAGGTTCATTTTAATTTAAAATAGGTACATACACAATAATGCTTTGTAATGCTATGTAATGCCAGCATTACTCAGGATTTGATAAAGTAATGCATTACATTACCATTACATGTAATGCAACTTTTTTGGCATTACACATTACTAACATTACTTCCAGTTCAAGTAATGCATTGCAATGCATTACCATTACGATTAAGCATTACCCCAAGCCTGAATTATATATCAAAGTTAGGTATAACTGTTTTTCAAAGCTCAACAAATACTTTAAATAATAATATTTTTAATGGGTGGGAATGCTTTGACACAGATTCAATTACAAATTAATAAAAGTTATTGATATTAACCTTTATTTACAACTTTTTATTTCTAATCTAATATCATCTCAAAATCCCAACACAGTTAAAGTTTGACTTCTTTTGTACTCTACTGTGTATTAAATCACTTCCTGTGTATAGGGACGAGACGTTAAAAACCGA